CTGGAAAAGCACTGCCCAGCACCAGATGCTAGGTAGCCCTGCTCAAACACACAGGGATCAAAGTTCACCGCCACTAACCCTGGGAAAGAAAGCAGGGATGTAACACTGGGCACAGTGGGGGCAAAAACACCCACACAACCCTGGTTTCTGATTTAGTGGTCCCAAAGTGCTTGCCGCTGATAAAAATTGAACTCCCTGTCAGGGCGGGAAGGTCAGAGCCCGGTGGGGCAGCAGGACTCGAGCACAGTCCCACTGAGGGCAGGTGGAGTTCAGCACTGATCGCCCAGCTGGGGGCTCGGGCATCCCCTGGGGCTGCAGCCTTGCACCTTGTTGCCGTTGTTGTACATGGCAACCAGACAGTAGAGGTGGAAGACGTGGCCGCACTTCACCAGCTTCCCCACCAGGTCGGGCTTAACAGCCGGCTGGGGTCCCTTGTAGCCGGAGGGTGCAGAGAGGCGCTCCATGCAGATGGTGCAGTCCTGCGCAGAAGGGGAGGAAGAGGGGTCAGACAGAAGGGTGCAGCTGGAGCCTCACCAAGGACACGGGGCTGATAAGCTGCCTTGCTCTTGCCCAGGGACCAGAACTCCCCCCCGGTACCGTGCCATCACCCTGGGCCACCACAGGGGCCAGCCACACGTGCACATGGCACACAGCCCCTCTTCAGAGCAGGAAAGGGGACAGGGCAGAACCATGAAGGGCAGCAGGAGACCCCTACACACTGTGGGGTCATCGCCTGCGTCCCCACTCGCTCCTCCCAGAGCAAAGCACTCCAGGGACACCCCAGCGTGACCCCTGCTGCTCGCACCTCATCGGGCGGATGCCGCACCTTCTGCAGGTATTTTTTCAGTACCTCCTCTGGGGTTTTACCTACAGGAAAGCAAGAGTCAGAGGGGCTGGAGGGCAGCACAGAGGACGGGGGGGACAGGGGAAGCAGGCAGGGAAGGGGGGACAGGAACAAGGGCCAAGTGGCAAATTGCCTCTCACCCTTCTTGGCCTGTTTCTTGGTGGTCTTGCGGCAGGTGTGGGAGATGCCGGGGATGGACTGGATCTCGCTTTTGCTGACGGGTGGGGGGTGCAGCACCAACTTGGGGGGCCGTGTCAAGCAGACGGGCAGTCCGGCTGCGCTCATGAGGATCCCCGTGATCCCTGGGCAAGGGGGTTTGAAATGGCACTGAGGAACGAGTGTCACCCCAAACCCCTGATGTTGCCCCAAGAACTACCCTGCTGGGGCTGACTCCCCCCCAGGGGGGCCAACACCCGCAGGCACCGGGCACCCCACTGTGGCCCCATCCTCACCTGCCAGCGCTGGGTTGACGGGGCTGGAGCCAGTGAGGTTCTTCACGGGGACGGTGGGGACCCTGCAAGGAGTCAGCAGAGACCACGTCAGGGCCGACAGCAAGCACCCATGTCCCCGCAGCCCCCAGGGGCCAGACAACAGTTGCCTGAGCAACTGCATGGGCCCTGGCTGGAAATGGAGAATCCCCCGACAGGGCAACGTCCACCCCACCGCCGCCTTTTCTCTCGCTCTTTAGAAACCCCGCCTGCATCTCCATTCACGGTTCCTTTTTGTCACTGCTGCCTGGGCCGATCTGTTGGTTTTTTTCCCCTCTTTTCTCCTACAGCCACGCTGCTGCCGTGGCTCTTTCCCCCCCCCTCCCCTTGGGGCTCTCTTCCATGGGAAAGTTTCCCAGCGGCTCAGGAGCAGAGGGAAGGGGGAGGATGGAGAGGGAGAGGAAAGGGGCCAGGCTGCGACAGAAGGCTGACGGCAGAGCCAGACAAAGGGGAGAAACAGGCTCGTTAAATGCCCACCCCCTCGAAAAAAAAGTGTCTTCAGAGGGTGGGAGTCTGGAGGGACCCCTTCTCATGGAGCCTGAATGGCTTTTCTTCGGGCCTTTTGCAGTCCCCCACCCATTCCCTGCCACCAAGAGAAAGAGCAGCCTCAGCCTCCTCATTAAGATGCAGGAGCCACCTCATCCCCACTCCAGTCCCCAGGCACCTGCGGGGAACGCGAGGGGCCCAGCAAGAGCCCTCTGCCCATGGGAGGTTGGGGACCAACAAGGTCCATCTCCCACCAGGCTCAAGGGGTGACAGCACCCCTGCAGCGGGCAGCCCCATGGGGCTGCAGACCCTCTGTGCCTTGGGGGGTGGGAGGAAATCACACTACCCCTGTTCTCCCCCCAACCGCCTTCTCGCTTGCACACAGCAGGACTCACCCAGAGGCAATGAGCACCCGGGACTGGGCAATGGCCAGGCGCTGGAGGTGGCTGCGGTTCAGGGTGCCGAGGCCAGGACGGGATGCCTTGCCACTGCCTGCTCCGGGGGGGCTGGCAGCGGA